GATCATTTCGCATAGGTTTTTGGCAAGGACGGCGAGGGCTGCCAACACCCCCCAACCATCCCTTGCAAAGAACGATACACAATGCACAGTGCACCTAAGTCTGGATCATGCGCGGACGGCCCGCGAGTACTTCGCATTGGTGTTTGACAGGGGACGGCGGGGGAGGAGGCGTATTGCCTGCTGCATGCAGGCCCATCATAATTTTTCCCACAAATGATGCAAAGTGCAACTTTGCCAGGGACGGCGGATGGGGCGGCATGCTGCCTGAAGTGCGCAGGCCTTCTGTATCTGTCTGAGGCAACTTCGAAGTGGTTGCGGCCGCACACCCAGGCACGATATGCAATGCTCGCAAACCCGCTGTCAGTTTGCATTGGACCTTGGCAGGGATTGTGGGGCGTTCGGCACATTGCCCAATGTGGCGCACCTGGTGCGCGTGGCGGGCATCGCGCACCTGGCTGCCGTCTGCGTTGACTTCCGATGGTTGTCGATGGCGGCCCCTGCCTGTGCTGAGACTCAGGTGCTACTTATGTAGTGGGAGGGCGGGTGGGAATGAGCGACACGGCTTGCTGCTTAGGGTAGCTTGACCTCTCCCCCATACCCCATACCCCATCCCCTGGGTCTGGACGGGGGAGTCCCGAGGGGTTAGAACGTCGAAGATTGCCCAAAATGGCTCTACGAGGGCCCCATCTGCTGCATGCTACTTCAAGATGGCTTCAGATAATGAGCCTCCGACATACCCCCAAGAGGTCCCCTGACCGCCCCAAGACGGTTCCAAGTGCCCTCAGAGCTGTTCAGGGCAACCCCCCAGGGGCCAACACCCTTCAACGCACATAAAGAAGTCCATGCGGTGTGCCTTATCGCCTGTTCGTGTCCGATTGGCTGCTGAAGCCGCAAGACGGCCCAAGAGAGCATCAGACCCAAGAGGGCCTCCACACGCACTTGTTCGGTCTCCAATGGGGGGGCCTGAATTGAAGCTTTCCTCTTGTGTTGGCCATGGGGCACATGACTGTCCCAAGAGGGGCCCGGGACGCCCCCCAAAGGCACCACGGGGGCCCGAAGAGGGCCCCAGGATGGCCTCAAGAGTCCTCCAAGAACCTCCCACAGCAACAGATCCGCAAAGGCCGCCTCGATTGTCCTCCTTGATAGGCTGATGGGGATACTTTTTAGTCGCGGCCGCAGGCGAGCGCGCCGACGGCAAGTAGCCACGCGCGAGCCTAATTGCCAAACGCCGACGAGCCGGCAGCCTAGGCAGCACCTAAGCGGGCCGGTCAGCGCGAGGGGGTGCGGGCTGATGGGGATACTTTTTTTGTTCGCGGGCGGACGCGGAAACGCTGTCGCCGAAGGAGAGGTCTGGGCCACGGGCCTGCCAAATTGGCCACGCGCAAGCCTACAAGCACAGCGGCCGAGCCCGCACTCAGAAGCAGCCGCAGGTGGGGCCGCAGCTGAAATGCTGATGGGGATACTTTTCTGGTCAGCGGCCCCGAGACAAAGGTCAGGGAGCAAAGGCGTCGTCCGGGCCACGGTCGAGGCTAATAGCAAGAAAGTGCGCTGCCAGCCAGAGTAGGCGAACAAACTGCTCGCGCCTGCACGTGCACCGAACAAAATGACCAGAATTCGAGAGGCAAACTCACGGAGGCGTGGAGGCTCCTACCGCAGTGGGCAGGCCGCTGGGCCCGCTGATGGGGATGTTTTTTTTTTTTTTTTTTTTTTTTTTTTTTTTTTTTTTTTTTTTTTTTTTTTTTTTTTCAAAAAAAAAAAAATATTTGCGGCCCGCAAGGAGAAATCCAGAGGGCGGTGTGAGGCAATGGGGCGCAGTGCCAGATGATTACCATGCAAAAACCACTGGGCGGATGCCAGCGGCAGAAAAGCTGCCACGGATGGACAGCAAATGAGCACAAGCCAGACCCACAGGTGGGGAAACCTGACCGTTGGGAGACAGGGCGGCGGCACTGCGCAGGCTGGTGCTACGCCGGCCCGCGGCAAGAGGCGAGACGCAAGCGAGGACCACTGGACAGATGCCAGCGGACCAAGGGCACCTGGAGGCACCAACGCGTAAATGGAAGAGTAACTACGCGGAACCTGCACCCTGGCACCCACGAGGGGCGCAGCACAGGGAGTACAGAGACGAAGCGGAACAGAGCACAGAAGGTCTAGAAACGCGGTGGACTCATTCACATGGCACCCTGTGCGTACACGACCTCCTGAAGGATGGTCACTTCCGTCGCCGACGTTGGGGGGAAGCCACTCAGCATAGAGCTGGACTTCAAAGGGTGAAGCACGAGGGAGGCCTTCAGCCAGTTGCCTCTGCACCACGGCCCGCACTCAACGCGGGCAAAGAACCTGGGTGGGGTTATTTCAGCCGACCGCAGGAGCAAGCGCCCACGGGACGCCGCGGGTATCTATGCGCAGTGTAGTGCCCCTCGAACCCAGGAGGTGGCACAAAACGTGGCCAGAGCCATCCACTGCAGGCGGGGACAGATGGGGCGACGCCTTCAGCCAG